ATATATATATGTGTGTATGTTCCTCCTCCTACGCTTGCTGCTCCTATTTTACTCTTGCGAGGGGGGTAATTGCAATGATAATTTGGCGGCGAACCTAAGGCAGAAAATGCGATGCGGCAAGCGCTATTTTTTTTTTTCGTTGTTGTTGTTGTTGTTGTTTTCTGCTGTGTTGGCACTGCACGCGCAAACAACAAACATGCTGGTTGTTCCACATGCGCTGCCGTCAGGCGCGCCCGCTTTCGACGGGGCAAAGTCGCTCTTGATGGCCTCCCCGTGCAATCGCAACTGCCCTCGGTTCAGTCGACGGCAAGAGAAGCGCGGGAGCTCCCCATTGACGGGGGTGGGGGAAGCGCATCCCCCACACAGCCACGGAACTGCAGGCTGTTCCACCGGCACGATGGCCGATGGAAGACGTGGATTTTTCCGAAAGTGTGGAAGTACAACACCGAAATTTTTAGACCACAGACGCCGTGGTACAAAAAGTCTGACGTTTCTGCGAAAGGAGAGGAAGAAGAGGGAGGGGGGTCGGCTCCCGGGCTCAGACCTCGTCAATGAAGAAGGGCGGGGGCTGTGGCATATACAAACAAGGCTGCTGCAGAAGAATGACAGTCCGCTGGGATGTGTCTTCAATGCGGCGTGCCGTTTGTCATTTGTTATACAACACTCTTGCCGTGTCCTGACGCCCTTCTTCTTTCTCCTTTCTCTCTGTGTGGTTTACTGCAAGCTGCAAGGTCTGCTGCCTCAAGTGACGACGTGTTGTTGATGTTTTTTTTTTTCCTTGCCATCATTGGTCCCAGGTGTCATCTGCGCAGATGCATCCTCTCTCCTTTTCTCCGGACCCCCGCTCAAAAGATGAAGGAAACAGCCGCCACTCCAGTGCCACAACCGCCGTCGACGTCGCTGCGCTTTCACCGTTGTGCGTCGCTCCTTTGGCTCCCAATATCGCTTTGCTTGGAGTTCGCCTCGGAAGCACGTGGGAGGGAGTTGGATTCGAAAGCCATTAGTTGTGCCCCCAGCAGCAGCAGTGCCACTGCCACCGCTCCCGCAAAGGATGTAGTGCGTTCCTTGGATGCAGCAAGTGGCTTTGAGCGGCGCATGCTGCAGGAGATGTTGAAGAATCCTTTTGTGCCTATGCGCTCCCTCCGCGGCGTCTTTCCTGCCGCCACGGAGTACTACAGGGAGGACGCCCTGCTTGAGATGCGCATTCACGTTGCCTCTGATGTCAGCTCGATTGCTGCCTCACCATGGGCAGAGATGGAGGCCCACAGAAGCGTTGCCGCTGTGATAGCCGTTCTCAACTGCCACGACCACGAGCCTTGTCAAGCCCTCGCGGCAGTGAAGTTGGTGTTTCGACGGCACTTTAAGGGGTGTACGTGTCGCTGTATAGTATTGGATCCGACCGCGGAGGTGCAGGCGTTGATGTCGCAACACGTCTTTATTCCCGCCCACACCTGCACGCCGGTGCAGGAGGTGGCAAGGTGCCTCTTGACAGAGATTGCCCTGCCCATTGTGCAGCAGGTGAATGCCCACATCATCTCCCTTACAACCCCAGTGGGCACGGCGGCAACTGCGCCACAGCCCGCTTCTGAGGATGTTGAGAAAAAAGGTGGAGGTGGTGAGTTTGTGAAAAGCCGTGTTTCACACTCCCGTTTGGCAAAGAAAAAGGGGGATCTGCTCTTACGTTTGGGCGCACTAGATGCCGCGCTACTCGCCTATCACGAGTCGCTACCGTCAGCAGATGCACTGTGGTGCTCCGCAACCCTAGAAGCCCTTGCGGCCCTGCGGTACCTGCAAAGAGCCCCGCTACTAGATTTCACAACGGCTGTGGATAATATTTTTTCGTCGCTTGAAAGTGACGAGACAGTGTGGAATGCGGAGATGAGTACGACGCTGAAGCAGTTGGAGACGGTCGTGGAAAACGTGCGCGCGGATCAGCGTAGGGCGACTTTGCTGCTTAAGCACAGTCTCCCTGCCGCGTCACTCAACCGCAGACTGCTCAAAGAGGTGGAGGAGCCTTTCTCCCTACACATTGAAAACTTCCGGCGCCAGCTTGCCATAATCCGTCGTTTCTTTGAGGGAGGCAACAGGGAGACGGTGGACACGCATGTGGAGGATGCCGCGAGGAGTGCCCGTGGGGCGTTTAAGGAGATCCTTCGTGCTAGCTTTGTTGAGTTGCAACTTTACCTTCAGGAGGCGCTGCAGCAGACTCGCTCCATTAGCGGAACCCGGGCGGGTTTGCAGGAGCGTGAGGCGAGCATCCAGCTTAAGCGGACGGAGTTGCTTGCCGAAGAGGGAGACAAACGAAGGTTCCTGGAGTCACTGACGGTTCTTAAGGCATCGGCAGAGAACGCCCCAGCGTCGATGCGGCAAGAACTGCAGGGGCGGATCCCATACCTGAGTGCCCTCTGTGGTTGTTGGCGCAAAGCCATCTTCAACGTTGTCGAGGCTGCTGTCTCGGAGAGGCAGGCAGATGCCCATGGCGCCTCCATTTCCTTATTGATGCGTGCCTGTAGAATGGCCGGTATCCCTCTTCCACTGATGGAGTTTCAGGATCAGGCGGCGGGGTGGAACGTGGTTGCTGCGAATAAATTGGACGGCTGCGATGCCGCGAGCAGTGAGGCGGGAGAGGCGGGCGCTACGGGGCAGCGTGTCCACAAGGCCCAGGACGTACCGCTACTGATGAAGCTGCTTGAGGCGGTGACAGAGGCTGACTTGAACAACGGCATCCAGAGTGCCGTTGCGTCTCTTCTTCTTTTTGAGTACTACCCTATCCTCCGTCGGGAGACACAACAGATGCTGATGGAGATTCTGGAGCGCAGCACCGCGGCGATAGAGCCGCTCGTGACAGTACCGCCTCCTCTGCTGCAAAGCATGGAGGTACTCCCGTTACCGCCCCACCTGGCGCCAAAAACGGTCCCCCTGAGTGGCGCCCAGTTCACCTTCATCGACACTGGACGGCTTAAGATGACGCTGCTCACCTTGGATGGGAAAGTCTTACCACACGGACAGGTGGTGTGGTCTGTTGGAACGGTGGGCGAGGTGCAGTTGGTTTTACGCAACCCGTTTCTTCGCGATTTGCAATTAACCTCCATCGCCCTATATTGTCGCTCCGTGGAGTCGCTGGATGAGCTCCGACGCGTTGGGGATGGTACGGCGGGACATGTGGCTGGGCCGCTTGCCCCGTCGAGTTATCTGGTGACGGGTGTGATTCTGCCATCGCTGTCGCAGCGTCTTCTGCGTCTGCAGGTGCAACCGAATATGCGGGGCTACCTTGTGGTGGAAGGCGTGGAACTTCGTCTCGGGCAGCTGCCTCTCTGCGCCACCTTTCTGATGCCCTCGCCAAGCCCCACTCTTATTCCCGTCCTGCGGCAGCTGCCTGACGTCTCCTGTACGCTCGGCGTCAATGAGGTGGAAATTTTTGGAGGTCAGACAATTCATTTTCCACTCCATTTGACGAACTCTGGTGTGGTGACTATACATCAGCTGCACCTCACAGCGCACGATGAGTCGTGCCAGTTGGACACATGCACTGGATGCAAAGAACGCGTGAGTCCCGCGTTCCTCTACGTCACACTGGAATCCGATGCTTTCCAGCAGAGGGGAACTTCGCGTTACCTGGACCCTGGCGATACACTGCAAGTGCATGTGACGATGGTTGCCCCGGCCGGCATTGATCACGTGGTGTTTGAAAACGTCGTGTTTCGCGCCATGGTAGAGTTGTCATACGACGCACCTGTAGCCCCAGAAGATGTCCCCCGTGCTGTTCCTGTTTTTGCAGTCATTCCTCGCCGTGTGCAGGAAACTTTTCTTCGAGTCTTTCAGGTCCCTAGCGTTGCCGTGACCTCGCTGGAGCTCTCACGGGATCGGCGGTATGTTGAAATTACTGTAACGAACAAAAGCAAGTTACACACCATTGAAATTCTTTGCAGTAAACTCTTCTTCACCGCCATCCCTGACGCATTGATTGTGGCAGGCGCCGAATATCTCATTCCGCCCATAGAAATTACAAGGATTCCGGCAGACGTACGTAATTTTTCACTCCCGTGGGTGGTGCGGGAACTTCCAGAGTGTCGCGGTGAACTTTTTCTGGACTTTTCAATTCTTTCAAATGCATTGGTGAGCATGGAGCCCTTGGAAGATGCCGTGGTTAGTGTTATGCTTGCTGCGGAGGGCGAGAGTGGTGGGGTCGATGTCAAGGAGGAGTGGCGAAGTGGGTCCGCCTTGACGAATGAATTCCCCCGCCGGTTTCCGGTGATGAAGCCTGTGACGCTCCTTGTGCGTGTCAGCACGCCATGGAGGCGGGCGGTGCCGCTTCGTGTTCGACTCTCCATGGAAAACCACCTGGATGCCGACGTCCTCAGCGGTCCCGTGGACACCACCAGCATTGTCGGCGGCGGCACCAACAGAACTGCCAGTCCCAGTCGCAGTAGCGGAAGGAACGGGGAGAAGGACGGCGAGGGCAGAAGTTACGAGGAGAGCATTGAGTTTTTCCCCTTTAAGGTGGGGGAACATGTCTTGACCATTACGCTTTCCGACCTCGATGGACGTGAGATGACGCACATGGTGAAGCTGCAGGTGGAGCACCTGTAGATGAAGGCAGGAAGGATTGGGGCCTGAGAGCCGTCTGTCACTTGCCCAGGGACTCCCTGGGAAGTAAAGATGAAGGAGAGCCCATTTTTTCCCCTCTTTTTTCTTCTTTTTTTGCTCTCTCTTTCCGCCTTGTTGTTTCCTCCTTGTTGATGTTGCTGTTGTTATGTGGCAGAAGGAAGGGGGTGATGCTCCCGTGCGTCCATGTCTTTCTGCGTGTGTGGAGTTGCGTTCCCTTCTCTCTTTCTTTCTTCTTGGGCGGCTTGAACCGTTCAAAGCATGTGCATTCATTTCCCTTTCTTCTTCTTTTCCTTTTTGCCTTTGTGTTGGGTGTCTCTCGCGCCTTCCACTGTGGCTCTGGTAACCGCTGCCTGCGCGTACGCTCTCCTCTCCACCCTCGTCCGCAGGGAGTGCGCAGCAAGCGTAGAGCCTGGGGGACGCAAGCAAAGAGGGGGGCGAGTGAGGAAAGGAAGCCGAAGAAAAGAATAGTGAAGAGGGCGAAGCCTCTCTCTTTTTTTTTTTTTTTTCTCCCCCCGCCTGTTTGTTTGCGCCGTTGTGAGTGTGGTTGTTATTGGTCTTGTTGTTTGGCGTGCCTGGAGGGAGGCGGCGTGGGGGGAGGAGGGGGAGATGCCGCAGCGAGGCGTTGTCCCGCGGGAGCGGCAGAAGCGCCCGCGCCAAAGTGGCGGGGAGGTGGGGCAGGTGAAGGCCTCGCCGCACCACGGCGAGATGATCACAGATGAGAGCCTTTGCCGGCACGAGGAGGCGGAGGCGTCGCTGGAGTCCGACTGCCTTCCCTCAACCGCCTCGGCAGCTGCGGCCGCAGACATACAGAATGAGTTGAAGGGGCAGTTCGACGCCTGCCAGTTAATTGAGCGGGACGTTGCCTCACTGCTGAAGCGGCGAGAGCAGTCCACCGCGGTGATGGGTAGCATTCTCTCACTGAGGAACATTTCGCCCTACGACACAGTACGTCTTAATGTCGGGGATGAGCCCTTTACGGTTCCTCTCCAGCTACTGTTAAGCAGAGACGGCAACGCGAACTACTTCGATGTCCTTTTTGGGTTCTGCCAGAGCAGCACCTTTGGCGATAATGCGGAGGGTCAGGGGCAGGACGGCAGCGGGGGTGGCGGTGGCGGCGGTGGTAGCAACCCCTACAGCCGTCTCATGCAGCCCCCGACGTTAGATGAGACGGGGGCGCTTTTCATCGACAGAGACCCCGCCACCTTTCGTCTCATTCTCAATTACCTTCGCGGGTACCGCATGCTGACGATGCTGAACGAAGACCAGCTGTCGATGCTGAAGACGGACGCCCGGTACTTTCAGATTCGCGGTTTAATGGATGAGTTGGGCGCGCAAACCACGGAGGGCAGCGTTAAGTTTCGGCCTGGCCCCGGTGTGAATCCCGAGCGCAATCGATTTCGCGTCATCTACGGTGTGGCCATGGTTGGCCACCGCTTTCTCATTACGGGGCGCCACCGCATCACGTTCCAGGTTCTTAACAGCGACTACGTCGGCATTGGGCTAGTCTCCGACTCCTGCGTCAGCACAGACCAGGAGTTTCACAGGACCTCGCACTGTTGCGTGTACTACATGACAGGCGTCTTCTATTCGAACTTTCCGCATCACCGAAAGGAAGACGGACTCGAGGCGTTGGAAAAAGATGACTACGTGTCACTCATGGTTGACATGAACAAACGTGTGGCGGAGTACACCTTGAAGAACTCGACAAAGATGATCTCGCTCGGCAACGCCCGGAAGCTGCGATTCGCCGTGGCCATGAAGTTGAGCTCAAGCGTGCGGATTGTCCCGGAGGAAGAGGCGGAGCAGCTTCCCCTCTTTCAGCGAAGGGCGCAGGCAGAGCCTGTCCTGCTTGGGAGCCGCACACCGACCATGGGCGACGACCGTGAGGCACTGACGCAAGCCTCGCAGCCAAACGGCGCAGGTTCGCTGGCCCCGGGCGGGATGCAGGAGCCGATATTGTTGCGACGGACACAGAGCGCAACACCCTTGTTTCTTTCACGTAGCTTGGAAGGCAACGCGCGTGCCAGCTTTGCCGATGGACTTGGAAGGACAGCGCGAGCCATTGTGCTCAGTTCCTTCACAGGTGGCCCTTTGCCGAATGACATCAACGAAATAGATCCGCTTCTCTTCATCCCTGGCAACCGCGACCCACGTGAAGGCACGTAACTCATGGCAAAGGTATATAAATATGTCTGTACATGCATATTATATAGTATGGTTAAGGGAGGAGCGAGGTGTGATGCGTTCCCATTTACGTCGCCTTCTTTTTCCCCTTTTCTAGTGCGTGCTTAATATGCCATGAAAAGTGTGACGCACCTGTTTCTTATGTCGTCATTGTTCCCTTGCGCTGGCTGCGATTCCGCCTGGGCATCTCCCTCTTTCTACCGCGAAAGCAATGCTCACCGAAACCCACGCTGTGAGATCCAAGTGAGCCCGCTTTCATCATTTTTTTTCTTTCTCTCGTCTCTTGCCCGTGTTCAACTCCGCTGAACGAACTCGGCTGATGATTAAAGCGTGAGGGAAAGAGAGAGAAAAAGGAGGAGGAAAAAAAAAAGAGATGGTGGTGGTGGTGGTGGTTTAGGGCCTTGCTGGTTCTCTGCTGTTCTTGTTTTTCCGCGTTTCTCTGTTGTTGCTTTTGCTGTTTTGTTTTTGCCTTTTCCCCTGCTTTGGGGTACGCCGCCCTCGCTTCTTCCTTGTCTTATCCCGCGCCCGTCTCTCTCTCTCTCTCTCTCTGCGCGTTTGCCGCAGGAAGTTGTCATTTGTCTTGTGGGTTCGCAGCTTGCGTCGACGCACGGTGGTGGTCCAGGAGGGGGGAAGTCATGTCCAAAAACACTTCAACTACCGGTGCCGCTGCGCGCACCTCCGACGGGGCCATTGGAGGCACACACCATGGGCACGGCACACAGGAACTAACGGGTTTCGTGCAAAACTTGCTGCAAAATATGCAGGAGCGGTTTCAGGAAATGTCTGACTCCATAATTACCCGCATTGATGAGATGGGAACGCGCATCGACGAACTCGAAAGGTCCATTTCGGAACTAATGCAGCAGGCGGGCATGGAGGAGGAGGACAGCAAACCAGCCAAGCCCCAGGGGGCCCCACCAAAGAAGTAGTTTTGTTCTGGACGCGAGCGTATGGTTTGGGCCATCCCGTGGCTGTTTGTGGGCCACTATGCATCTGCATGTGTGCACACACGCTTACTTCGCGTCTGTGTTTCCCTTTGAGCGTCGGCGGTGTGGAGCGCTAGGGTGCCTCCGCCCCTCCGCGCACCGGGACGCACTGCGAGGGTGAAGTGGGGCTGCGAGAGAGCGTCACCGCCAAACGGTGCGACAGAAGAAAAGAAACAAACCAAAAAGAACTTTAAGGCAGATGAAGCCTCTGAAGGAACAGAATAGAGTGAAATGAACAGCCTCCGAAGGATGGAGAAAATGAAAAAGTGCGGGAAAGTGTTGAAGTGAAGGTAAAAATGGGAAAAGGGCGCGAAAGAGGGGGTGTTGGAAGCGGAGAAAGACATGAACGCCCTTTCCCCTCACCACCATCATTCCTTTATTATCCCGCTGCTGAACGGAGCTGCCGCGGGGAGGGATGCCAACTGCGGCGGAGTGCCTGGGACTTTACAGACGGACGCATGCATCTCCTTTCCTTCACTCCTGCCTTCCCTCCACTTCTTTTCCCTCTTTGCGACTGCGTATGTTGGGTGGGGTGTGCCCAGGTGCGGCACGCCTGGCATCTATGGCGACTGGCGTCCAACGCAAGGAAACCATCTATGACGCCTGCCGCCTGGGAAACGAGGCACGTGTGGAGGAGTATGTGAGGCACGGGGGTTGTGTCACGGAGCGCGACGCCAACAAGATGACGCTTCTGCATCACGCGGCATTTTCTGGGAACGTTCGCATTCTTGACGCCATTCTCTCAGTACAGCCAATGCAGACGGTGGACTTGGATGCAGCCGACGCCGGTGGGTGGACCCCGTTGCACTACGCGGCGGAGCGGGGGCTCACCGCCGTGGTGGAGCGTCTGCTGGAGGAGGGCGCTAACCTGAACGCAAAGGATGAAATGAGGCGCACACCACTGCACCTCGCGGCTGCTGCTGGTCACGTGGACGTGCTGCAACTCCTCCTCAAGCATGGCGCCGTACGCGGTGCGAAAAATGTGGCTGGATTAACGGCACTGGCGTGTGCAGGGGCGAGTGGTCAGTTGGAAGCTGTGGGCGTCCTTGAGCGGCAGTGAAAAATAAATGCTAACCACATGAATTTATCCAGCACTCTTTCTCCGTGCCGTGGAGGTGGTGCTGATTGTTGCTTTTGTTTTTCTGTTTCCAGCTGTCTTCTTCTGTTGCCTTCTCGCAATGGGTGCAATTCCGTCGGATGCTCATTTTTTTATTCTTTTCTTTTTAATTTATTTCTCATTTCTGTGCGTGTGTGTGATTGTTACGCAAGTTTCTGCTCTTGCGGTGCATCAATCCTGTTTCTGCGGCCGTGCTGGGGTGGACGCTGCGCCACACATACGCTGGACTTTGACGGGGACCGGGCGGCATGACTGTTGCGGAGGAGGCCCTTTGCGTGGCGCGTCGGACGCCCCCGCGGTGTGGCTCGGCGGAGGCCGTCCTCGCGGGGAAGGCGCTCTCGCCGCACGACAAGGTTCGGCAGTTCGTGGAGGAGCAGGACTCGCTGCACTTGCCTCCCAGCGACGCGGCGGCGGGGGCCGTTCTGCCGGGCCCCCACGAGGATGTCGACGGCGACGACGTCGACGCGAGTAACGTCCTCCCCCTCATGGAAGGACCGACGGCGGTCGCCAGAGAGACGGTCTCCGGCCGGCGGCGGGGGAAGAAGCAGCCGGCAGCGTCCCGCAAGCGAAGGCGCCAAGGTGAAGACGCGGATGACCCCCTGCTGCTTTTCCGCCGCTCACAGAAGGCGCTACGGAAGGAGGCACGCCACGTGAGCATGAAGGAGGTTCTTTCGCGCTCCCTCTCGGGCGTGCTGGACGCGTCGAGCGAGGCGAGCAACCCCTTTTCGCCGACGGCCGGCTCACAGTTGTCTTCTGCATGGTCCCCCTTAGTCGCGAGCAACATCACCAGTCGATTCCTCTCAAATGTGAAGCAGCAGAAAAAACAGAACTTTGAGCGCCTGATGCAGAAGGAGATTGCCAACTCCCAGCTCTCAATCTCCCGGCTGACCACCGACGACGGGGAGTCCGAGGAGGGCCTGCCAGAGCTTGTTATCGGGGACGAGACAGCCGTGATGGAGCCGCCGTTGATGGAGAAAGAGGCTCTCCTCGTAGACTCCGGCGCAACTTTGTCGCAGACGGATACGCTTCTGATGAGCAGCACAACATCCCGAGGATTTGTGGAACTAGACGAGGAGGCGGAGCAGGCGCAGTCGGAGGCGCTACTGCGCAAGCACGAGCTGTGGCGCCTGCGACAGAAGCAGTTGCGGGAGCAGCTTCGTGAAGAGGAAACTGTCCAACAACTGAAGCGAGGAGAACGTCAGGCAACAGTGCGTGGACAAACTTCGTCCACGCAGTCGGCGATGACCGTCACCACCAACTCAAGCTACTCGCTCTCTGCCACGCAGGTTGCCGCGGCAGATGTGGATGGATGCAGTGAATCTATCATGCTGACGCAGTGCAGCATTATACAACGCTCACAGAGCCTTACGCCCGGGCTCTCCGCTGACCATATAGAAATGATCCGCCGCGCAAACAACTTCGACAATACTTCAAGTCAGCGGGTGGTCGTTTTCAAAACGCAGAAAAGCAAAAAGGAGGGAGACTTGCCCACTTCCAAGGCGAAACATTCCATGTAACCGGCAGAAACGAGATGTTGGAGGCAATCCTGCAAGGAGTCAATGCAATCCCCCACAACCTTCCATTCGGGGGACCTTGATGCTTCCACTCTGCATCTCAACTGCATAGATGCCCTTGTGTGTGTGTGTGTGTGTGTGCGTGCGTGTGTGTGTTTTTTTTTGTTTATCCCTTCGTATTTGCGTACCCCTTGCACCTTTCCGTTCACGACTTATTGCTTTTGTGATTGTTTTTGGGGTATACGTGAGGAGAATGAAAGGGAAGTTCACTACACCGTTTTTTTTATTGTCATCCTTGCATGGGAGTGGCGATCATAGACTCTTCATTGAGGGCGTGCAGTAGAACTTTAAGATTAACAATAAAAAATAAAAATAAAAACTGGACAGTACTACCGCGCCTTGTTTTTCTCTGGCTTAGAGTGCGTGAGAGTGTGCTTCACGCTCGTCGGAGTGTATTATCATAGATATATTACGGAGGGGGGACGGAACAGGGGGAGTTCGGGTGTGTGTGTGTGTGTGTGTGTGTATGTGTTTGTACGTCGCTATATATTTCTAAAGGGGAGAGAAGGGCTTTCTGCGTGCGCTCCGCAGCTTCAGTACGGATCTCTGAAGCACCACGAGTGTCTGTGTGTTTGTGTAATGTGCACGTATGTCTCTTTGGTTACCTGGGTTTTTTTTGTTTTCTTTTTTCTTTTTCTTTGCTCTTCCCCCCTTGGGCTGCCATGGAAAGAAATGGCGGAGTTGGACACCACAAAGATATCGATCATCACGGGCAAAAAGGCGGACCCCAAACTCCTCGCAGAGGTTGGGGTCCGTTCAGACGAAGTCCCAGGGGCTGCCAAGGCAAAACATGCCCAAGAGAGGCGGTGTAACCTGTGCTGCATGTCGTACGGCCTGATTCTCTCAGCCGCAATGGTCCTGATGGTGTCCTGCATTGGGACCGCCGCCGCCATCTACACGGAAAAGAGAGTAAACTACTCGTTAAACGGTGCCATGCGACAAGTGGGTTGGATTGCGCTACCAGGGGTACTTGCTGGGACGACGTTGCACTACTTTCTCTCAGAAGCGATGTGGAGCGGCAAACGTAACACGTGGGGGCAGGCATGGATGAAGGCCATTGGTTTTAACAGTTTCATGTGGTGCGCCGGTATTGGCATGGGAACCCTGCTTTGGCGCAAGGGCCTCCTCACGTCCTCCGCCGGCCGACGACTGTACTATCGTTACCCCATCCCCACAGTGCCGCTCGACGCCCGGGTTCTCCGCAGCGAGGCGGAGTTTTTTACAGGAATGGGCTGGTCGTACTGGCTGAGCGGCGTGGTGACGGGTCAAGTGGGGTATTTAAGTTGCGTAGGATTTTGTGTTTGGAATGACCGGCCCTATTTTATGATGAATCCCCACGGCGGCTACGCGGTCCGCTGCATGCCCCGTTGGCGCAGAGAAGACTTTGCAAGGCAGGCGAATGTCAAGCTCTCCGACGGGCGACCATGAAAAACGGTGGGTGAAAGCAAAAAAAAAAGTCTGCTGTGGATGCGTCAGTTTTGGAAATCAAAAGGAAAAAAAGACACGATTGAATTTTGTGCCTTGTATTTTCTTGCTGTCATGCGGGTAGGCGTAGGGTTTTTAGAAAAGACGACTCTCTGCCGTGTCCCGCACAAATTACCCCGCGGTTCCACGCATTCTCTTCACGCTCTCTCGTGTCTTCGACATCCCTACTTTTGAACAAGTGTTCCCCTTGAGGGGGCGGAGCGTGTTTGGCATGGTAACTGAAGAAGCAGGTTACCACCGACCATGACGAAGGATAGAATCAACTTCCGCAGGTCCATGAAGCATGCCCACGGCGCTGCTGAAGTGGAGGATGCCGTTGGGATCACAGAACTGCGCACCACACACATCGGCGCCAGTGCGGCGGAGGAACGCGGCCTGCGCGTGACGGGATTGATGAAGTGGTCCTTTGACGATTTCATTGTTGAGGAGGTATGGCCCGACGGTGTGCTCCACCAGCTTCAAGCGGAGGCCAGAGAGACGCGTACTACCACGGCTTTCCTTATACGCGTGGTATCTGAGGGGGTGCCGGACAGCGCGATTGCCGCTCTTATTGAGGGAAAATGCCCCCATAGGACGTCGATTCGGTTTCTCACACCCGTAGACTTTGTGTGTTGTCAAGAGCGCTTCGTGCTGGTGCACTCGTCTTCTCATGAGGCCAGCCGTTTCTTTCAACGTGTGCAAAAAGTCCATCTCGCAGAGGGACCCGTATGCCTCGGGAAGGCTGTGGACGTTCCTTTCGACGAGAAGGCGGCGCCGTCTCTACCCATCCAACTTTTGCCAGACCTACGGTGCTCCATTCTGTTGAGAGGCATGCGTGGGTCCCTGGCGGATGTTCTTCCTCGTCTCGAGGGCCTAGCAAAGCATGGTTTTCTCAACTATTCGCATTTGGCGCGGCATGGCACTGGTCTTTTTCGTGCCTTTGAAAGCGGACGACATCTTCTTCATCGCGATTACGTGGAGTTCCTCCGCGGGCATGTACTTGGCTTGACAGAGCGTTCCCCGCTGCTTCGCAAGGAAACTCCCTCGCTGTTAGAGCTGCTTGCGAATCCAAAGTCCACGCGTAGGGATTGGGTGAACGTTAGGCAGGGCCTGGAATACGCCCTGAGGCGGGATGAAGCCTTGATCCGCCGACCGCAGACCGGATTGTATTATCCTCACCACACGCTGCTGCGTGATTTCATTGAGCGGGCGTCGGATATCGTGCCCACACATCACGACTCCGCCCAACTGATTCGCGAAAGCGTCCCCCGTTTGCTGCTGCAGGAAAAAATAAGAAGCGTGGCGGATGTGCACTTTAACGCGTTGGCGTCTCTTCGTTGGAGCATGCGCGGTGCTCAAGTGGCTGTGGGGGATCTTGTGATTTCCGAGGAAGAGACGGGTCCACTGGACATTTTTGAAGCCCCCGCCGATCACATGAATGGCGAGATGACATCTGTGCGTCATCCTGAATGGCTTTCTGCCGCGGGGGAGAATTACATGCGTCGGATGCGTGGGATGGTTCACGTCGTGCAAAGCCCTGAGGAAGGCCGGCGGTTTAGCTTGGAGCAGGTGGTGCTTCCCGTTATGGGGAGCGGCGGCGAGGAGATGTGCCTCCCAGGCGGGAGAATGAAGGAGGCCGCAGAGCGATTGGCGCAGGAGATGCAAATTGAGGGATTGCCGAAAATGAAGGCGGCCCCACCGGCCACTTACCGTCGCCTCGTTGTGCGCCCAAAGGAATTTGCCTATTGTGTGTTTGACGACGAGCGAGGCTGGTGCTGGGAAAGCAACCAGGATGCGCCTATTCGCCCGCAGCTGTACGAGGATCAGGAAGGTATTCTGCGGCAGCCTTCCCCTCTTTATCTGGCGACGGGGAAAAACATGATTGCGCGAGCAGGTATTCGTGGTGCAGAGCAGCGAAGCCACTTTTTAAAGGCCGCCAGACGTAGTGGCATGACGTGCGTGTTGCGCATGACGTTGCCACGGGGCTCGGCGGTGACCTCTGCACTGCGAGAAGCGTTTCAGTTCGCCACACTTGACCCGGGGGCCATCTTTCACCTCCTTCGATGAATAGAATCATCTTCACATAAATTACTACCCTAATGGCTACATGTGTCTCTGTGTGCGTGTGTGTGTGTGTGTGTCTGTGTCTGTGTTTGCTTTCCTGGGGCCTGAGGAGATGTTTCTTCCGTTGTTGCTGTTTTTTTTGTCTTCTGCTAATACGGTTGTCGTTTTGCAGTTAACTTCTCCGCCTGTGCTTGTTTTGAACTTCGCGTGCACCTTTCTTCTTGCTATTGGTTTTGTTGTTTTTTTTTGTTTTTAGAAGCCACCCCGCCATGGTGGTGGTGCGGCTCGGCCTTCGCCTTCGATTCACGAAGGTGCCCGGCGTGCAGGGGGAGCGGGTGTTCCGCGACACGATGACCGTGACAGACCCACACGACCACGGCTACCAGGACATTAGCGACGTTGTGGAGAGGAAGCTTCGCTTCATGGACGTTCCACCGTGCGACTTCACTGTCTTCCACAGGGACGGCAAGACGGGCGACACGGTCGTGGTGGACGACCCCTACTGGGGCGAGCTTTTGGCGACGTTGGTGGCGGAGGCGGCCGCGACAGCCGCAGGGCCGCATAGAGGGACCGCGGCAGCCGACGGGGCTGCCGGTCAAGTTGAGGCGGAGGAGGAGGAGGAGGACGGCCCCATCGTAGAGAAGGCCGTCGCGTTTGACGTGGAGGTGCGTCGCGAGCGGCCCTTGGAGCCGCCTTCAGGTGGTGCCCCGGCAGTGACTCTGCTGCCGCTGACCTCGGAGGCCCTTCAGGCCCATACCACAGATGGTGTGTGCCTTCCCATTGCCGCCCTGACGTGTCCACCCAAGTACTCCAATTTTTTTATTCGTGGCGTGGTCATTGCTATGCGTTTCAAGACCCCAAAGCCCAGTGTGTCGGTGTGCGAGTTGGACCTCTGCGACCCGGTGGACCCACAGCAGCAAATCAGCCTCATGACGTTTGACGCTGCCGTGCAAAAGGCCATCCGGGACAACCTGCGGAGCGATCGCAAGCAGGTGGTGGAGCTGCGAAACGTGTATGTTCGAGTCAAGAACGAAATAGATAGACGGTTTCAGACGAACGCGCATCCCCTGCTGCTTCGTATGGATCGAGGTTCGAGAGTGGAGGTGGTGCAGGTGCTTCCACTCCCCGTCGCCCTACGTTCCGAGCAGGTGGTGACGGTGCGAGAGAACCTGCAGCCTGCCGGACTCGTCAACCTCAGTGATCTTGCGGGTGCCTGTGACGCGTACAACGTGCACTCTAGCCCCGCTGCGCCAAAGGTGCACTCCTCGTTGGGCTCCTCCTCCTCCTCCTCCTCCGTGCAGAGCGGAGCCAGACGTACGATGCTCTCCCTCTGCAGCGGTGCTTCCTCCGGTGCAATACCGGTTTCTGGTGTGGTGCCGTCCCAGCTGGGCGAGCAGATTAAGCGACAACAGGCGCAGTTTCTTGCCAAGCGGGGACGCGAAGACCCCGTGCACTGGGAGCCGGACACCATTCGCGTAACCGCCAAGGATGTGCGCATGCGAGACGCCATTATGGAGCACGAGGCCTTTCAAGAGGAGAACAAAAAAGATCGCATCCGGCGGCGAAAGGAAGTCAGCCAAACTTGCATTATTTGTGGTGTCAACTGTGACAATGAGGACACACTTCGGGTGGTGGAGGATTTACTAAAAAACAGCACTCGCAACATGGGACGGCATATCCCATCGATGGCGGAACTGCGTCACGCGTTAAGTGATCACCGACGAACGCGAGATGGGAAAGTGCAACAGCGTCTAACCTGTGCTCAACACTTTGTGGATCTCCGCACACGCAGCGTACACGTGGTGCACTGTCGTTGCGCCCACCTCTGCACGAGTTATCAGCGAGGGGCCGAGCTTGAGGACGTCGTCTTTTGCGAGTTGCCTATGCAGACGTGTGAGTTGTGTGGAATGCCTGGGGCGAGTGTGGCGTGCTATCACCCCGACTGTCATGAGAAGTATCACACCGTGTGTGCCCTGTTTTCAGGCGGTTACGTGAACTTTGGAATGAAGGACCCATACCTCCCGTGTCCGGCCTGCCCGAGACACACACAAGTCGTCGTGACGGCGTCCGGCAAGGCGCCGCTGCTGAATGGGCGAAGCACCTCCTCCTGGTGGGAAGAAGATAAGGTGGTGTTTGACTCACGTGTGGTGGAGGACACGGACTTACGTGACCCGGACGAGAATGAGGGGGCTTAGCTACTGCGTGTAAACATAATTGGGTCCACTACGATCTGCACTAACGTATCACTCCTTGCGTATGCGTGCGTCTTTGAGAGAAAGAAAGATAGAAAGTGAGTGAGTGAGGAGCTACTGATCGCCCTTTCCGTACATCCGCCGCTGGTGGTGTTGGAGGGCGGGGTCACACGGACAAGCAAGGCAAACGTGACTGAACTAGTGCGTGGGCTTGTTTTTTTTTATATTGTCTCTCCCCCTGCGGTGCTCGCTGCGGCTTCTCTGCATCCCTTCCTTTCATGCGCTTTCTCTCTCTCCTTCTCCCTCTCTCCCTGCGTCTCTACTTTGTGTATGAATTCGCCCCCACCTACCCAACACACACACACACACAATTTGTCGTGCCAATTCCACCGCTGCGCGTTAGATGTTGAGGTGGGAGGAGAATGTCCAGGACCCCTGCTCCACTTGGTCCGTCGCCGCCACCTCCCCCAAAGGGGTGTACGTTGTTGCGGGAGAATGTCTATGAGGCCGGACGTCGCCACGACTTAGACGAGGTTCGTAAGCGACGGAAGCCCACGATGGCACGCCACAAGGAACGCCTTGTGGATCCACCGGTTGGGGCGAGTAAAAAGTACACGGTGGTGCTGGACCTCGATGAGACCGTGGTGTATGCGCGGGAGGGTCCTTTGTATGCGCGGGCGTACCTGCACGAGTTGCTTCGTTCGATTAAGGACAAGTTTGAGGTGATTGTTTGGACGGCGGGGGAACGGGAGTACGCCAAAAACATACTGGAGGAGATCAACCAGGACCACATCATTCAGCACCTGATATACCGTCACGGGGCGTGGTTTTGCAGCGAGGACTACACAAAGGACCTGAAAAAGCTGGGACGCAACATCGACTACGTCATCATCGTCGAGAACACCGCGGACTGCGTCCGGGCGAATCCGCAAAACGGCATCATTGTGGAGGACTTCGAGGTGCCGTGCACGCCACCCGTGACATCCCAGGAGATTGAGGCGGCCACGCAAGGGGCGGACAAAACGGCTCCCCCCTCACCGCCTGCATCGCCGCCCATGCCCTCACAAACTCCGTCTTCTTCGGTCCCTGACACCCCTTCCTTGTCGCCGGCGAAGTCGAGGCGGCAATTCACGGACCGCACCCTTCTCTTGCTGCAGGAAGTGCTGTTGGCGTTGGCGGAAAGTGGCGAAACGGTTCCCACATTTCTCGCCAAATGCCCATTACTGACCCAGCAGCAGGTTTTGGGGTCGGATGGGCAAAGTATTCCGACGTACTACCTGGGAAAGCGACGCAAACGTGGAGCGCCCTCCACATTATCTCCGCAGAAACGCGTCGCTCGCAGCAATGCTGCCTCCCGGCACATTGCTGAGGAAAAGGAGGCGTCGAGCGCCCGTCTAGAGCGTAAGGAGAAAACTACCCAAAGGGGGCAGAAGTTGGGGAAGTAGAGTCCCTTGCCTTCCCCACAGCGGTTGGAAACCACTTCCTTCCCCTTGTCCAGGTGCGTGTTGATTGTTGTGGTGCGTGGGCATTGGGCTCTCCATAATGCCTCCACTGAACTGTGTCTTGTCCAGCTCTCCATGTGCGCTCGCGCCGCTCTTAAATCCCTCTTCTGGCTGTGTTCCGACACGACTTCGTTTTGTCTTTTCTTTTTCTCTTCTACTTTTCATTCAACACGCAGAAGTAAAAGAGACCAAGCGCTGCTTGTCGTTGTGCACTTTGAAGGCACCGAAGTCACAACCGCCAGCAACACACACAGCCTACGCGTATACACACGCACCGAAGTGTCGCCGCCGCCGTCAAGACGACACACGCAACCGTCTCGGCCTGAGCGGACCCGCCGCAGAGAGTGAAGAAAGAGCGAGTGAGAAGCAGCGGCCCAACATGCCCCGGCACCGGCTTTCTTCCGCGGTGCTGCTCCTCCTCCTCTGTGTGGTGGTATGCTGCGGGAGTGCAGCTGCGAAGGCTCCGGAGAGGGGTCGAAGGAGAAGTTTATTTGAACTCGACGAATTGTGGCCGACGGAGACAGAGGCTGCGCCAACTGAGGGAAGGAAGAAGAGGAAGGTAATCGAACTCTTTCAAAGGTGGCGTACGGAAATACCCTACGTCGCGAACGGTACGGAGCAAAAGGTGTTGACGAAGGATTTCAGCGCCCCCTGCGTTGTGGATGTGAACGGGGTGCTGGTGGCTCTCGCTGAAGCCTCCTTTGTGCCTTCCTCTAAGCTGAAGCAGGTCAGTGTTGTGACCAGGTTCATTGGGGCCAAGACGGAGGAAGAGAAGAAGCGAATCTGGGAGCAAGACGGGAGGTACTGGGGGACACAGATAGCGGTCAACCGCACTGAAGGTTCATGGCCTGTACCGCTCAGCCCTACTGCGATTGCCAAGGGCGATAAGATTTTCCTTCTAGTGCAAAACCCCAATGAAGAATTGGCGGAAGATGAACTCTTGGGTGAAATTGGCTCGGATGACACTTCGGGCGAATTGGAGCCGAATGCTGACCTTGCAGATGCATTGGAGCCGGTTTCTGAGGGTGAAAATGGATCGGGACTGGAGGACCCTGCGGGTGGATTGGGCTCGGAGGACACTGTGGGTGGGTTTGACTGGGGGTCGGAGGACCTTCTGGGTGGGTTTGGCTGGGATCCGCTGTTGGTCGTTGGTGAAGTTAAAAGGAAAACGACGACAGGGAGTGGGGAAACAGTGGAAATCACCTGGCAAGAGCCTGTGTCCTTGAAGGAGAAGCTTGGAAAGTCCCCGAGGCAGTTCCTGGGCGGCACAGGCGCCGCCATTGTGACAAGTGACGACCAAGTTGTGTTTCCTGTAAAAGCGATGACCGCCGACTGGGGCGTTGTCTCGCTGGTCATCCACTCGAAGGACCCCTCAACGCAGGACTGGACGATTCCAAAGGGGACCACGGCGGAGGGCTGCACAGATCCCTGCCGTCGTGGAGTGGGAGGGGAAGCTCCTCCTGACCACCCCTTGCGTGGATGGGGTGCGCAGGGTGTACGAGTCCAGCGACATGGGGGAGACGTGGACGGAGTCGCTCGGGACGCTCTCACGGGTGTGGGGCAACACCCCAGCCCGCACGGGGGAAGGCGCGCAAGGCGGATTCATCACTGCGGAGATTGGTGGGAAGAAGGTGATGCTCTTTACGCACCCGATGCGTTCCCCTGGAAGAGGGAGGTTTGGCCCCGATCGTCTCCACCTCTGGGCGTCTGACGGAACGCGCATCTACGATGCTGGCCAGGTGTCTGAGGGCGACGACGACACGGTCACCAATTCCCTGTTGAGCTCCAGTGCGGGGATGTTTGCTCTGTACGACAAGCACAGGAATCGACACAGCAGCCTGTACCTTATGGACCTAACCGCGGAGCGGGACGGGATTAAGTCTGTGCTGGATACCTGGGCGACGGTGGACGGAGCCTTCGCCACCGGGTGCAACTTCAGTATGGCGAAGCGCGACCCGCCGAGCAGCGACTGCGCCGCTCCTATTCCCACCAAAGGGCTTGTGGGGTTTTTGTCGGGCACGCTTGAGAAGGGCAAGTGGAAAGACAAGTACCGCTGCGTGGACGCAACGGCGAGGAACGCGGTGGAGGTCGATAACGGCGTGATGTTCAAAGGCGTCGGCGCGGGGGCGGAGTGGCCCGTCGGCAAAGAGGGGCAGGTGCAGCGGTACCACTTTGCCAACTACAACTTCACTCTTGTGGCGACGGTGTCCATCGACGCGGCGCCCACAGGCGGCGGCCCTCTTCCTTTGCTGGGGGCGAGCCTGGATGTGCTTGGAAACAGGAAGCTGGTGGGTCTGTCGTACACCGGGGAAAAGCACTGGAGCCCGGTTTACAACAACGCCGCGCGGCCATCAACCATGACGTGGGAGTTAAACCAAATGTATCAGGTGGTGCTCATGCTACAAGACGGCGTGGCGTCCATCTACGTTGACGGCGTGCTCCTGGACAAGGACCAAGTCAAGTTTGCGGGCAAAGGGGCGATGGGGGAGATCTCGCACTTTTACTTTGGCAGCCACGGAAGTGGCAGTCCCTCCGCAAACAGCTTTGTGACGGTAAAGGATGTCTTTCTGTACAACCGCCCTTTGACTCACGCGGAGCTTCGCATACCATTCGAAGAGCTGGGCGACGCTGCTGTGCAGGCTGGGGCAGGCCTCGCCGGAGATGCAGAGGAGGGTCCCACAACAGTGAGCGAACCAGCCGATTCAGCCATCGGCCATGTCTCGCCCAACGATGCCGCAGTGACGCAACCGCAGCCCCCCACGGCTGATGTCGCTGGGCCCGAGACGATTCAACCGCCAGTCCAAACCAACGAAAGCGCAGCGTCAGTGCCTGATGCCGCCGAGGAGACGTTCGCGGCGGGCGTCCCCGTCACTTTTCTCCCTGGCAACAGCTCCGCTGCCTTCAAGAACATGACTGATTTGAGGCCCAGCGAGGGAAACCGCGACGGCACTCTGCGTGGGTACGTGCCTCGGCTATTGCTGCTTGCCCTGCTGGGGCTGTGGGGCACGACGGTTCTCTGTTGAAGGAAGGAGGAAGACCGGATTTGTCAATCCTGCTGTAAAGTGTGTGCTGCGGTCAAAGCGGCTCTCTTCATTTATATATCTTTTTGTTTGTTTTGTTTTGTTTATTTTGTCTATTCCCCTCCTACTTCCTCTTTGGGATTTGCTGTAATAGCCGGTGGCCTAGGGTCGCTTTTGCTTTTGTTTTCGTTTCCAATGGTCGCCTGCGCTATACGCATTGTTAGGAGTGATGAGTTTCCCCCTCCCGTTTGCTTTTGTGGCTGCAACCCACACACGCTATGGCAGCTGCATGGCCGTGCGCCGCACGGATGTGACGCAACTGATGGGCAGAAGTGCGGGCCGAAGGCCGCAATAAATCCGCGAGAGGTGCAAACGTGTGGGCCCATGCGGCTGGGCGATTTTTTCTGTTTTTTTTTTATTCGTGCAGGCAATAAGTATACACGCATTCTCACAGTCCTCTTGTGCTTCTGGACACGTGAAAGTAAAGGAACGCCTGCCGAAGTAATTCTTTTTTTTTGTTTGTTTGTTTGGGGGCCCCGCTGGGCTCTCTCGTCCTTGTTTTGGTATTAATTTTTTATTAGGGGTAAATCACTTCGGCTCACCTTGCGTTTGCGCCGTGTCTCCGCGTCTTGTTTGCTCCCGCTTCTGGCTGTGCCGCCGACACACCCCCATTCCTCATCCTTCTCCTTCTTTCTATTCCAAGCTAGAAGCTGCGGTAGTCCACGACGGCGACAACTCCTTTTTTTTTCGCAGCGGCGGCGCGGGAGTGACGGGGCGTTCGGCCGCCGCTTTCTGTGCCTGTTGCAGCGGTAGAGAAGAGACGCAGTGTGTGTCGCGTGTCTCACTGTGAGTGTGCGAGGCGCCGTTTCATCGCAGCCTGCGGTGCGGAACTCTGTCTTTCTTCGGTCCTCGCCGCGCCCACACTTGCCTGTGCGGTATAATTTATTACGGATATGTGTGGCTTCCCTGGTGCGCTCGATGCGGCGCCACGTGAGGCCGCTTGCTGCACAACAGGTGGCAACGCTCTTGGTGCGCTGCCGGGTGTCTTTGCCGCGCGTTACAGCGCTTTCGTGCCACTGCCGCTGAAGAAAATACGGCACACGTCTCTGGGCGCCATTTAGATGCGCCGGCACCAGCTGCGTGAACTCAGGCCGACGCTGCTCTTGGAGGGTACGCGGCCGTTTTAAGTGGCGGGAGGCTGAGCTAGGACGGCTTGCATTGCTGCCGTGCAGGGGATGGCTCACGATCGTTTTTCCATCGGGGAGGAAATCCAAGGTCATGGCAGCTGCGCCTGCCGGCGAAGCACTGCCCCAAGTGTCCCTGCAAGGTGCTCGTGCCGGGGGACGAGGCGGCGAAGGTTGTCCCGTACACGCACGAGGAGTGCAAGCGCGCCGTGGTGAATCTGGTGAAGTTGAGCTTCTTTACCGCGTTTTCACTGACGTGTATGCCCGAGGGCAAGCCACAGCTGCTGCAAGACGTGTGCGGCCCCTTGATGCCCCTGCACCAGCTCATCAGGGCGCTTGCACCCAGCAAACTGCACCTGAGCGACACCGTGCGTGGTCTGTTGGCCCTCACCGCATCACTGTGCGATTTCTATTAGGTTGTCTTGTAGTACATCACTGAGGCAAGCAAAA